AAAAAAAAAAAAAAAGTGTAAAGCAAAAATGCACTGAGTTCAGATCTCAAGGATCAATGATAGTGTCAACTATTATGACTTACTAACTTGGGGATGGCCAGCCTGCACTATATATGCCACAAGTGGCACGCACAGTCCCTGTGTGTGCCATGTGAGGGTTGGGAGTAGGGCTGCAAGCAGAGGGGAGAAGAGGGATGAGACAGGGCCTGAGGTTGGAGGGTCACATTGCAGCTCACTATGTCTGTGTTGCCCCATCTGGGAGGCTAGCGGAGGCCATCCTGACCATTGCACCTGCTCTACAGTGAAGTTAGTCTGGCTTGGTTTTGCATGGCCAAGCTGGCACGAGGGTGGGGAGGAGGAAGGGACAGAGGCTGGGGGGAGGCAAAGAACCCAGCCAGGAGGAGGGACAGGGAGAACAGCTCCTGCTGCCCAGCCATAGGGGGAGGAGGGGTAGAACAGCCCTGTGTGGACCAGTGGAGACAGAGAAACAGAAGTACTCTGGTCTTTGCCTCCCCAGTACAGGTAAGACTGACCACCCTCCTTTCTCTTTGCCCTTTTGACACTCATCAACCTCCTACATGCACCTTGGGGTACAGGGAAATTTTTCCCAGGGCACAAAACTTGTTAGTTATGCCTTTGCTCAGGCCCAGTCCAGCCTGTCAGTCTTGGTCTGGGACCTGCCTACCCACAGCAAGTTCTAAGTTGACAGAACCCAGGGGGATCTGGCCCCATCTTCGTCCCTTGCCCCCAGAAATGCAGCAAGGCCCCCCTTGTGCAGCCTTATATGCCCCAGTGCCACCCCCACACTGAGCTCTCTCTCCCAGGTTCCCCCAGTTATGCCCATATGTAGGGTTCCAACATCACTGCCTCGCAGGGAGTCCTCAGCTCTGCTGTACCTTGTCATGACACCAGGATTTCAGAGACTGACACTGTCTCAGAGCTGTCACTTGGAGACACCTTATCCCACTGCCCTGTGGAATTACCAGGACCCTGAGGGTGTGCCTGGGGAAAACCACATTAAGAGAATTCCTGCTGAAGGAGCTGCCTACTGCGGAGGGTGTGAGCTTCTTTAGGAGACCCCAGTAACACCTCTTGGGCAGCCTCTGACATATAGTAGCCCAAGGATGTAAATCCTCCTGTTAGTGTCATGGGGTCTGAAAGTGTCAATTTATGAGATCCTGCAGATGCCAGAGTGCTGCTTCATCCCTGGGTATGGAGGCACCAGCTGGTACAGAGCATATGGCATTGGAGGTAGCACCCATATTCTGTCAGGGTGGTAGGGCACTCCTTGTTCTGTCCCATGGGAGGATTGAGCCCTGAAACTGTCACAGGGGATGTGGAAAATCCCTTGCTGAAAGATCTTGAGATGCAACCTCACAAGGTGCCTCAAGTGAGGATGTCACAGGGTAAAGATACCCGTTACAGCTGTGGCCAGAAATAACAGTGCTGTTGTAGTTGACAAGGGATGTGGATCCCCCACCCCGAGACTTTCTTGCCAAAGTCCCCGGTGCACAACTGGTATGCAGCAGTGTTTTTTTTCCAAACCTCTTCATAATGTTTAAAATAAATGCTTTTATTTTAATTTTTTTGATTCTCAGCCCAAGAGATGCAAAGCTATCAAACGGGTGGTCACGGGCAACTGCTTTGTGTGGCATGTGAGCCCCAAGCGCTTAGTGGAATGGAGGCAGGGGGCTTCAAGCCTCTGGCTGCACAGAGTGGAGAGGCAGCAGGATGTTGTAGCAGGTGTCACTGCCAAAAAGCCAGGTTAAGACTTCACTGGCCCTGTAGCTACTGTCAAATTAAGCTTTGGATCCTTGTTTGCCATATAAAACTGGAATGATTGCAGGGCCAGTGACAGGTTAACCTGGCTCTTGATTGTGACACCTCCTCTCTCAGCAGTTTCCTGTGTCTGGGGACTCCAGCTCCCCTGTCATGATTCTGGTGCTCCAGAATGCAAACTCAGGCGTGCCTCTGGGAAGGACCGTGATTAGAGTGACATTTGGGGAGAGGTAGGGCTTAACTTGTGGTATGCCTGCCAAAAACATTGGCCACCGCTGCTTTAACTTAAGGTAAATAAAAATACACCTCAGAACTATTTGTGTATTCTAGTGTGAGAAAAGAACTCTACAAAAATGCAGATTAAATCAAATACAGGTCTTGATTTTAATATCTTAAAGATAAACAACAAAAACCATGAGCTTTGTTGTTTTGTACAAAAAGGGAAGGAAATGTAACAATGTCCCCTTTTGTACAGAAGATTTGGTGAGTGCAATCCCTCTTTGGCTACATCATCAGCTGTGTAGCTGAAACTGGCAGAGTCAAAGCAAGCTCACACACAGCGCCAAAGTATGTATGGTGGGCCAGTAATATGCCCCCTGATTTGAGGCAGTGTGGCTGATTGCGAGGACCACTCTTTAGATGGGAGCCAAATGGTTGAGGCAGAGTTCATAAATTATGGCTGCTTGGGGAAAAACCCCCATGTGTTTCAGCCTGCATTGATGACCTATTTCAATTACTTGCTTTGAACTGAAGATGTTGGCTTTCACCTATAAAACCCTTAATTGCCTAAGACCAGTGTACAGCCTTTGTTTGCTATTCTGCAACACTGAAGTCAAGGAAGATGGTACTCATAAGAGGCATTACAAGGCATTTTTGAAGGCCCTTCACTTTGGGGCTCTTTCTCCAGAATCAAGTTTCAAGGCAAACAGCAAGGTTCATTGTTTTCTTGAGTTGAGGGGGTGGAAGGAGACTGGTAGGATATCAGTAGAAATCTGAATGGGAGTTTTCTACTAGGAATCAATTATTGGGAAAGGGTCCAAGGAGTGTTGTGTGGCTTCAAGCAAAGCTTTTCCCTGCATGTCTAAACAAGAGATACTAGTTGATTAGTCTAATTTTCAGTTTGTTAAAAAATAAAAGCTTGACAGGAGACTATTGGGAGCTTGCTTTGACTTGCTACCAGTTCCAGCTATATTTTTTAGAAGGCTAAAGGTGGCCAGGGAGGAGTTTTTCAGTTGTTCATCTCCTGTGCAGAGTCCATTGAGGGTGAGGAGACTGGGGAATCCCTTATTCCTGCACACCTGAGAGCACATAGTGGCTTCTCAGAGGACATAAGATTTTACTCTCATTTCTTGTGTGTCTGCTGAGGACTGCATGCACAGATGCCATGTTGGCCTTGTGCCCTACCCAGCTCCTTTGACAAGACTTTGGACACTCACCAGGATGAAACCTCAAATTTTTGCTGCACACTCCCCTGAGGCAAAGGGATGGAGAGATCAGGGCAGGATTAATATCTTCATGTAGGATTATGGGCCCTAAGGCTTATTTGGAATGGGGACTTTTATGGATTGCCTAATACAGTGGTGTGTGGAAACTTTTATACTGATCATTTACAATTAAGACAATGTTAGCACTCTATCCTAAAAATAATTTCAAGGCCAGAAAATTCAGAATAATTTATTTTAGGTTTGCTTCTAATACTTTGAAAAAATGTATTTTGCTAATAAATTAGGCAGACAAGGTTCTTTGGGTAAATCTGGTATCTTTTATTAGACCAACTCAGGTAGCTGGAAAAATTCTTAGCAAGCCAAGCTTTCGAGTCTAAATACCCTGCGTCAGGCTGAGGAAGCATCTGCAGTTGCTGTGTGCTCTTCCTGGATGGAATAAATAGTAAAGAAGCCAGAGGCTGGCAAGACTTTCCCTGGCCCTGTAGCCCCTGAATTCAGGGCTTTGGATCCTGCCTCTATATAAAACTGTGGCAGTTTTAGGGCCAAGGAGGTATTAACCGGACTCCTGGCAGTGCACTTCCCCTTGCAGCAATCCATTTCAGCACTCTGGGGCACATATTGTATTAGGTATGCCTATGGAAGCAGAAATCAAAGTGGTACTTGGGTGGTGGGGTGGGGTGGGGTGGAGTTGACTTGTGGCATGCTTATCATAAAGGTTGGCCATCGCTGGGCTAAGCAGTATATAACTGTTTAACTAATTTTAGGCTTTTTCTATAAGTTAACTGAATTAAACAATTAAATGATATTAGGATACTATGTTTTTATTCATTTTGGTGAACTAATAAGTGTTGCTTATAGAATGCATAATGAGATGTACAGAAAATGCTGTTAACCAACCCTGTCTGTTTGCTTTTCCTTGAAGGTAAGCATCTGCTTGGAATGCAATAGCAGCAAATTGCGTGGATTGAAAAGAAAATGGATCCGCTGCTCAGCACAAGCAACAGTCTTGCATCTAAAGAAGTTCATTGCCAAAAAACTTAACCTTTCTTCTTTTAATGAGGTAATATTTTAATATAACAAAAATATACTTCAGATTATCTTGTGGTAAGTATGTGATAGTTCCTTGAAATCTTGCTGTCAGGAAGAGAACTCAATAATGCACTGCATTCAAAAGCTTGTTTGAATATATCCTAGCCATGCAGTTGGTCTAATAAAATATATCACTCATGAAAATCCTTGCCTCCTGCATATTTCCTGCTGCTACAGAACCACTCAAGCGCTACAGAAGACATAAACCGGTGTCAGGTAGAATTTGATACAGGAGGACTACAAAATGGCTTCTTATTTGGGGACCCTAATGCAGGCAAATGTCAAAATGCTTAATTTGAATTTTGAAGTGAAGTCTCTTCTCGTTTCTCCTTCCCTACAAACTAATCTACTGAATTTGCAGCCCATATTCCTTCCCAGGCTTATGAAATACTGGGCTTGTAGTTAATTAACTCCCATTTTGCACTTTTTTCCAGGTCCAAGGCATAGTCATCCTCCTCTTTGAGTGAAATGTAGCCCAAGACACAGTATGAGCTTATGCCCTGCATAATTAGAGGGGCTGCAGTTTACACTCTATCCCTTCTCTGAAACTTAGTCATACTTCCTGGAAATAGTCAGGATGCAGTTTGCTCTCGTCACCCAGGAACAATGTGGAGGAGGATAAGGGTAGTGGATGGAAAATATAAAAAGGCATTCTCTGTCTCCTAACACCCTCCTTTTCAAATTATAACATCCTAGTGTTTTTTTAATAAAGGTTGATGTGTAGACAGTATGCACCCCTTCTACCTTTTTACTCTCCTCTCTGTTTCTCATCTTTCTCTCTCTTTCAGCCTGTCTCCTTACCTAGCCTTAACCATGCCATCTCCCAACCCCAGGATGTCTCTAATTCATCCAGTTTCATTTCCAGTTCCCTATTGACTAGTATACTTTTGCATTTATACAAAAAAGTTCTATTCCACTGTGTAGCACAGGGGCAGGCAATTATTTCGGGTGGAGGGCCACTTAACAATTTTTGGTGAGCTGCATAGGTAGCTCCTCCCCTTTTTATAGTTGGCTGTGTGTGGTGAGGGCTGTGGGGACAGGATGAGTGAGTCTATGAGGTTTGTACGGTGCAGGGATCCCCACACACTCCCCAACGTGGCGCACAGCCCCTGCTGCTGGTAGCAGCAGCAGGTGGAGGGAGGACTGGGGGGCTCAGGGAGCTCATGCCCAGCTGAGGCACTGGTGCCCAGTGGTGCGCGGCTCTGGGCAGCACTGTGTGGGCATGAGGAACACAGCCTCTCTGGCTGCCTTGTTTGCAGGGGCTCTGTGCCGCATGCCTGCAGTTCCCACTCTCATACGGGAAAACTGCACACTGGACTCTGCAGGGAAACAGGGGACAGGGCTCCCTCCACTCTGGGCAGAGTCCAGGGACCTGCGCAGCAGGGGGTGAGGGAGGCTTCAGGGTCCAGCACGGGTCTTTTCCTGCTGTAAATGCGGGAGCTGCAGGCATGCCACGCTAGAGGTGGCAGCATCAGGAGCCAGCTGGGAACTGTGAAGTGGGGCTGGCTGCTGCTGCATTCTGTGATTCTGGCATTGCAGCCAGAAACCATGTGGCGCGGCACAGCAAGGCTGGGCACCTCTTGGCAGCGCGCTGTTCCTGGCTGCAACACTGGGACTGCAGAATGCAGCAGGAGCCAGCCTGGCCCCATGCTTCTCAGCTGGCTCCTGGTCCTGTAGGTCCTGGCCTCCAGGGCCCCTGCTCCTACCTGCTGCCACTTGCCCCCCCTGCACCTGCCACTGTTGCCTTTCCCCTGCCGCTTTTCTTTCTTCTGCACTGTCCCCTGGCCTGCTTCCCCCTGGCCTGCTCCCCATCTGCAGCTCTGGCATCACATGATGCAGTAGGAGCACCATACGGTTGCCAGCTGGGAACTGTGTGGTGCTGGCTAGGCCAGGCTGGCTCTTGCTGTACCAGCAGTCCTGTCCGCCTGTTCTTACTTGAATTTCCCCCTCTGATGGAGGGAGCAGCCCCAGGGGGTGAGGGGGAGGGCTGGGCCAGTGGGCCTTGCTACTGCTCGTGCTGGTTCTGCTGCCACTGGTTCCTGTTGTCTGTCTTTCTTTGACAGGCAGCCAGGGGTAGATAAATATTCATTTAAAAAATTTTTAGAGGCCCCATGGGCTAGATAGAATGGCTTGGCAGGCCAGATCCAGCCCACAGGCTGTATTTTGTCCACCCCTGGTGTAGCAGGACACTGGGATGTGTCTGCTCCTTTAAGGGAGTAAGCAGCCTGAGAGGCTGCTTGCAGGTGGCAAAGAGGGGGTAATTAAGGACTCTCCTAATCAGCTTGAGCTATATAAGCCTTGAGCCTGAGCCGATCAGCCAGTCCAGCCCTGGGAGCCATGAAGTGAGGAGCTCAGAGAAGCAGGGCTCCTGAATACCAAGAAAAAGCCACTCTGCAACCAGGGAACAAGGGAGGGTACCTGGGACAGAGAAGGGCTTGGTTATATGGGCATGTGGCCCTGGTTTGTGTTAAGCCTAGAGAAGGCTTGAGTGCCTGCCAGAGGGTGTTTGATCATTAACTTGTACTCAGCAGGGGCTGAGAGTGGGATGCAGCAGGGGCTGCAAGGGCCTAGAGAGTAGGGATCTGGGGATCCACAAGCCCCAGGCCAAGGAAGAGCCAGAAGTGTGATCGGAGTGGACACAAGCAGGGATGAAAGAGTGAGACTTAAGAAGTTTGAAAAACAGGGGAGAGTACCAGAATGTGGGATCTGGAGGTTCAGGATCCAGGTTGACTGACAGTCACACCAGAGGGTCTGTGGGTACAGGGTGAGAGCCAGATGAAGGCCCATGGGTCTGAGAGGGGCTGCAAGCTGGATTGGGGGTCTGAGAGCCTGGAGAGAGAGGCTACAAGCCAGATCAGAGCCCCAGGAGCCCAGAGAGAGGGGGTTGCATGTGGGACCAGGGGCCTGGGAATCCAGAGAGAGGGTCTGTGCATGGGACCAAGTCTGGGAGCCCAGAGGGGGCCAAACATGGGACCAGGGGGTCTGAAAGCTTTAGAGGAAAGGCTGAGTGAGGGGCTAGGGGATCCAAGGGCCCAAGGCAGGCCACGTGTGTGAAAGTAACATCTTTAGGTTACCACCTGTAAGGCTTGGGGCATTGTGTAGGGGAGGAACAGAGGCAGGAACAATGGCAGAGGGCTTTTCCTGCATCCATGCCAGGGCCAGGCAGCTGCGAACTGTGCCCATGCTGTTGCCGCTTCTCTCAGCTCTCCCTCCCATTCCCTTTTTTGGAATGCAAGTGTAGCATCCAGATGATGGGGAGCTGCATTAGAACTGGGCAGCTGAAAACAGCATCCATACTGCTATTTCTAACCATTTCCCAGCTAGAAACTGCCTAGCCCCAAGGCAGTTCTCCACTGGCTGGAAATTGCTCATGCCCCAGGCTTGGCAGGGACAGGGAGAAGCAGCTCCAGCACAGGCACAGTTCCTCTCTGCTTAACCCCAGTGGGTCCATGGGTCAGATCCATGTTGCTGATTTCTGCATTAGATAAAAATTGAAGAATGGAAAAAAAGATTTTATGGGTCTTTAGAAGTCTGGTGATAGAATGCACACAGTGTTAGGGGGAGGTTTAAGTAACACACAAGGAGTAGAAATCAAAGGCAGCAGACAAGTATTCCATTTGTGCCAGGAGAAAAATCTTTCTTACAGCACAGAAAGAAAGTGTACAGCTGTTCAAGGTTGTTTTTGCAGAAGAGAATTACAAAAGGAGGAAGATCTATAAGGAAGATCTCTCTTTTCCTGTACCAACTGAATGTCTATGTGCTTCTCCCAGTAGTGGGACACTCCAGTATACCACAATCCTCCACTCTCCCTCCTTCCCTCCCTGCAGGCTAATAGGGAGCTAATGCTCTCCTCCCTCCAAGAGGGATGGAGGGAGAGCACTGGCTCCTTGTTAATCTTCCCTGGGTGAACTGTCAGGGAGCCCGGAGGGAAATTCTCCCTCCGTTGAACAGAGCTGGGTCACCCTGGGTCTAGTAATGGGTGGGAAGACATTCCCCTGCAGCTCCATAGGTCAGGTGACTGGGGAATTCCCCATCCTGACAATCATCACTCTGGAGCTGTACCCTATGCCAGGGAAATTCTCTCATAGCTAGAATTGTCTCAGTCAGAGGATGGATCTAGCTTCCAGTACATCTTCTTGCTGTCCTGTATCTGGGTGACCTCCTGGAGCTATGCATAGGAGGAAAGGGATTCTCCTGCAGCTGGATCCCTCCCAGACCGGGGTCCAGTCTGGTTGGTGTACTAATACATGGCCATATTTGCCTGACACGCATGCAAAAGCCATGTAGAGTTCAGCACAAAGCACCACAGCCATGGCCACTTTTTTATTGAACCTTGCCTCCCACAATAAAACAACAAACAAAACCAGCCAATGCTAACTATGCTGATGGTGCAGCCTAGTGGTTTGAATGTTGACCCAGGAAGTGGGAAACCTGATTATTTTATTTATTTATTTTTTTAAGCTATCCACCACCCAAAGGTGTTCAGACCTGCATCTCCTACTTCCCTGGGGGAGTGCTTTTGCCACCAGGCTATAGACAAAACTGAAATGAGGCTGTTCTATACCTAGTGACTCTTAAATACAAAATGTATGCGCAGCGTCTGGAGCAGGGACCCGAATCCAGGAGTCTTTCCTGCCAAGGATATGCCTTGTGTTAAGTGAGGCTGTCCTTCAAGATCCAAAATTCTAAGAATAGAACTTGCCTGTCTTTTCCTTTTCTGTTAAGATTACAAGTTCCCTTTCACACAGCATAGGGATAGGTCTTTCCATTGTCTTTGGAGGAGATAATGCATGTTTAATCTAGTTTTTATCTGTTTGCATCTTGTTCTATAAGTATGTTTTTGTCCCTTAATAAATTTAAATCCCTCTTCCTTTTTCCCCATCAGCTGGATATATTATGCAATGAAGAAATACTTGGCAAGGACCACACACTCAAGTTTGTAGTTGTTACTAGATGGAGATTTAAGGTAAAATTCAATTCCTTTGTCATGATTTCCCTTATTCTGGGGTAAAATCATTAACGGATTACCAAAAAAAAAGTTTATTAAACAGCTACTATATGGTTTTATACTGTAGTAAATTTAAAATTGACTAAAAATTGTTTACAATGTGTCTATCTTGGTTCAGAGGAAAAGTGAAGGCAGGAATTGGAAAAAAAAAATGGGGGAAAGAAAGTGAGTACTTTCTCATTTATAATGACTGGTGTGAAATCGATAAAGGAAGCGGGAAGGCATTAGGGAAAATAGTTCTTGGCTGGAAAGGCTATAAGGATTAATTGATTAAAACCATATCAGGAACAAGAAATCCATACAAAGCTTAGACTTTTATTCTAGATATAGAGAGAGCTGGATAGCTGTGTTAGTCTAAAGTCTGGCTGAAGGCACAGCAGGCAGGATGGTCCTTAAAAATGAACTTGCTCAGAAAGGCACAAGCTGTTGTAAGTGACATGCTACTTTGTCCGATGCTATGAACAGACATCCTGCCCTGCCCTGCCTTAGTTCTGGTGGTGATGTTAAAATTGGCAATGATATGAAAAAGCAGGAGCGTTCAACAAATTTTTATATTTTGAAATAAGCAGGTTATGGTACTCATAAGACTTAGGTGATGAATTACTTTTCAGTTGTTAGTAACTAAGGAGAGGGTTAGTTTCCTAAAGGGAAACTTCTTTTTTAAATTGTCAAGCCTGTATAACATGCACCTAAGAATTGGTTTGGTGGATTTCTGACTCACTAATAGAATCATAGAGAAGTAAGGCTGGAAAGAAACTTGGGAGGTTATCTCGTCTAACCTGTAACTCAAGGCAGAATCATCCCTGACTAAATAAACCATCCTAGCCAAGGGTTTGTCTAACCTGCTCTTAAAATTTCCAAGTTTGAACATTCCACAACTTCTCTAGGCAGCCTGTCCCAATACTTAACAGCCTTTATACTGAGAGAGTTCTTCCTGATATCCAACTGAAATTTCCCTTGTTGCAACTTAATACCATTGCTCCTTGTCCTGTTCCTTCAGGCTGCAAAGAAGATCTATTTCCATCCTTTCTTTAATTGTCCTTCAGGTAGTTGAGGACTGTTATCAAATCCCCCTCAGTCGTCTTAAGGCTGAGCAGTCCTAGTTCTTTTAGCCTCTTCTCAAGTCAAGTTTTTCAGTTTTCTAATTTTTTTTTTTTTTGTCACTCTCCACTGGACTTTTTTCAGTCAGTCCACATCCTTTTTGAAGAGTGGGTCTGAACTGGACACAGGTGAGGCCTCACGAGTTCCAAACAGAGTAGAAGTATCCCTTTCCTTGATTTGCAAGCAACAGTCCTATCTATACAAGCTGGTATGCTGTTGTGTTTTTTGTTTGTTTGTTTGTTTTGATTTATTTTGTGTTATCTTTCCCCAGCAAGAGCACACTGGTTCATATTCATTTTGTGGTCCACTATTACCTCCAGATCCATCTCTCCAGTACTGCAGCCTAGCCTATCATTCTCCACTCTGTATTCACACTTGCAGTTATTTTCTTGCAAGCATAGGACTTTATGCACTTGTCCTTGTTTAATTTCAAGTGATTTATTTTATTTATTTATTTTTTTTTGGACCATTTCTCTAGTTTATCTAGGTCATTCTGGACCCTAGCCCTACTTTCCAGAGTATCTGCAACTCAACCCAACTCAGTGTTATCCACAAATTTGCTAAGCATGCATTCAGTCTCATCATCCACATCATCATTAATGAAAATGTTAAACAATACGAAAACCCTGCTTCATACCTCCTCCCCATTAGGTAGACATTGACCCATTGATGACTACTTGCTGAGCATATTGATCCAACCAGCTTTGGATCCACTTTGCTGTACTTCCATCTAGTTTGTTTTTCCTTAGCTTCTTAATGAGAATGACATACAGAGATGGTGTCAAAAGCCTTACTAAAAGTCAAGGTATCCACTGTTCTCCCCCAACTGTAGAGCCTGTCACCTAGTTGTAAAAGGACATCAAGTTGGTCAAGTATGAGTTGCTGTTAAGTGAATCCATGGTTGGCTGTTCTTGATCATCTTGTTCTCTTCTTGGGTACTCTGCAATAGATTCCTGAAGGACATACTCCATGATATTTCTAGAATTAAGGTCAGGCTGGCTCTGCAATTCTCTGGATCTTTCTTTTTCTTAAAGATGGACATTTATATTTGCTCTTTTCCAGTCATTTGGGACCTTATCTGGCCTCCACAATTTCTCAAAGTATAGCCAGTTGGTCTGAAATTACCTCAGCTAATTCCGTCAGTACCTAGAATGTATCCCATCCTGCCCTGTGGACTTGAAAGCATTTGTTTTTCCTAAGAAATCCCTAACTTGTTCTTCCACTGCTCTAGACTGTTTGTCTCTCTCCCTATCTTTGATGCCAAGTGGGCTTATCATCTGGTAGCTGACCTTATTTGTGAAGTGAAGTTTAAAAAAAAAAAAAAGCATTAAGTACTTCAGGCATCTCTGCATCATCTATAGGTTGCCTTCTGTTTTTAGGAACAGACTTACATTTTTTTTGGTCTTCCTTTCTCATCTCACATACTTGTGGAATCCCTGTTTGTGGCCTTTTCTGTCCCTTGCCCCTTGTATCTCAAAATGTGCCTTGGTTTTCCTGATTTTTCTTCCTGCATTCCTGTGTGGTGCTCTTCTATAGTAATATGATCAAGTTTTCAGTTTTTGTGCAATACATTTGTGCGCTTCAGCTCTTTGAAGCAATTGCTGTTTAGTCACATTAGTCTCCTGTTGCACTTTCTGTTCTTTTTATCACAGTGCTTCTCAACCTTTTTAGACTCAAGGCATCTGTTGGAAAATGCCAGCTTATTTTTTCACACATTTTTTGACTACAGAAAAAAAAGTAGAGCAATTCTTACATTGCACTGAACTCAGAAGCACCATAACAGGCCAAAATGTTTTTAAGACTAGGGTTTCTTATTTGGAATCTCTGGTTGTGTCCAGATGAGCATGGCCGTGTGGTATGTAGCACCGCATATGTGTCTGCAGCGTCACATACTCCATGTTTAGTTGATCTCTGCACTGCAAGGAGCAGTACGGAGGATTTTTTTTTTTTTTTTGATCCCTGGATATCCCACAAGAAAAAAAACAGTGGAGTAGTGCACGCAGCAGTAGCTTGCATCACCTGAAGCTGGAACCAGGCTGGCCAGAGCTACATTTCACTGCTAGCCAGGCACCGTGTGGCAGGATAACCAGGACCCAAGTAAGGCTGCTGGAGCCAGCCCAGTGCTGGCCCCAGCCTCCCGTACCCCACCTAGGGTAACTTGCCACGCACCAAAGCACAGGTCGCATGGGTGTTCCCCAAGGACAACTAGCAGTGGTGCAAGGTGTGCAACCGTAAGTTGTCCCCAGGGAACCAAACATCCATGCACATCTGGACATAGCCTCTGAGTTTATCAAGTGAATTATGCTTGGATACCTAACAGGACTAACATTCTGTGGAACCCTCCAGTGACTTTGAAAGATGTCAAGGATTGAGAATCACTGTTCTTTCCCCTTGAGAGAGTTTGCTTTTATGCCTTTAAAAGGACCTCCATAAAATCCAGCCAGCTCTCCTGGATTTCAAATTCCATTTTTTTTTTTTTTTTTTTTTTTTTTTTTTTTTTTTTTTTTTTTTTTTTTTTTTTTTTT